TCGCTCACAACTTTAATGCCAGTAGCTCACAAAGTAAAATTTTTTGCTCACATGACTCCGCAGCTTATAGGGAACATTGCAGGTGGGTGGGGCTGAGAGAACTCTGACACAAACTGCTCTTTCAGGAACAGCTGTGCCAGAGCTTGTGACTGACCCAAGGTCACACCAGCAGGTGCAAGTGGAGGAGTGGGGAATCAAACCCGGTTCTCCCAGCTTAGAGTCCGCGCACTTAGCCACTACACCAAACTGGCTCAAGAATATTGTATGCTAAATACTGGAGGAAAGACAAAATACGCTCAAAAGAAGAAATGTTAAGCAAAACTCTTGAAACTGCTGAGATGGATAAACTGACTTTATTTTTGAGAGGGCAAGAACATCTAGATGCGAATATATGGTGAGAAAAACCGATGAATGCGTATTTTTACAATGTAGGAGGTATTGCAATAGACCCAATTAGAAGGTACTTGTAACCCCCAATGGATATGGGGTTTTTATGTTTTTGTCTGTTTGTTTTATATTAAAAATCAAAAAATTTTTTAAAAAGAGTGGCACCTTCCGCACTTGGACGGCTTCAAGAGGGAATTAGATAGGCATATGGAGCAGAGGTCCCTCAGTGGCTATTAGCCACAAGGTATGGATAGGGGCTCTGGGGCAAGTGATGCTCTGTCTTCTTGGTGCTTGGGGGGGGTCAACAGTGGGAGGGCTTCTAATGTCCTGGCCCCACTGGTGGACCTCCTGATGGCCCCTGGTATTTCTGGCCCCTGTGTGACAAACAGAGTGTTGGACTGGGCGGGCCATTGGCCTGATCCAACATTGGCTCCTCTTATGTTCTTATATGGAGCAGAGGTCCATTGGTGACTCTTAGCCACAAGGTTTAGATAGGGACTCCCGGTCTTGGGGCAAGGGATGCTCTGTCTTCTTGGTGCTTGGGGGAGGGCAACAGTGGGAGGGGCTTCTCCTGTCCTCCTGGCCCCACTGCTGGACCTCCTGATGGCCCCTGGTATTTCTGGCCACTGTG